GTGGAGCTGCTGCCCCCCGGCGGCGGCGGGGCGGAGTGGATCCGGCTGCCGGACGCGCCGAGCCTCGACCTCGTCCCGGTCGTCTCCCTCCACCTCCTCTTCCTCCTCCGCCTCCTCCGCCTCCTCCTCCTCCTCCACCTCCTCTTCTTCCTCCTCCTCCTCCTCCTCCTCCTCCTCTTGCATCTCCTCCTGCCTCTTCTCCTGCTCTCCTCCTCCTCCTCCTCCTCCTCCTCCTCCTGCCCTCCTCCTCCTCCTGCTCGCCCTCCTCCTCCTCCTCCTCCTCCTCCTCTTCCTCGAATTCTTGTATGAAATTTGGTTCTCCTGCTTCCCTCCTATTCAGGGGGCGGGCGGGAGCCCAATCTGCTTCCAACGCCCTCCTGCTTCCTGCTTCAACCCACTTCTTTGACCATTTGGCCCCGGGGACGGGCGGAAGAACGGCTGAAGCCGGGTCACCAGACGGCCGAGGACGGTGGAAGACGGCGGAAGACGGCCACAGCTTGTAATTGCGGCTTCGGGCGAGCTTCCAAGAGGGCAGCCTAAGAGCGCTCAAAGAGCCCCCAATGTTGCTTCAAGCCTGCCCTGGAGGCCTCCAAGACGCCCTGAGAGGCTCCCAAGAGAACCCCTAAGAGGCAAACATAGTTTCATTTCCGTCTGGGAACGTACATTTTAGTATCTTCGCTTGTTGTTTTGAACACCGTCCAAGACGGCCCAAGAGAGTCCCAAGACGGCCCCAGACGCCCCAAAGAAAGCCCCGGGAAGTCCACCAAGAGAGTCCCAAGACGGCCCAAGAGGGGCACCAGAGGGCCCAAAAGATCCCGAAGAGAGCCCCACGAGGGCTATAGGCGGCCCCCAAGAGTGCCCAAGAGGGACCCCAAAGGGCTGCACGACGGCCCCACGACGGCAAAAGAGCTTCAAGACGGCCCCAAAGGGCGTCAAGCGGACATCCGAGAAGGCCTGGAGAGGCTATAATCGTTGATGTTCGTAACGGATCTTGCTAGTTCCCTTCCGTTCTGAACCTCTTCACAGGGCCCCGACAAGGCTTCGAGTGGGAAGCGGACGCCGCGGGAACTGATATGGGACGCCCTGCTTGAACTCCCCCTCCTCACGGTTTTCTTTTCTCGCAATCTATGCCCATCTGCGCTCCAGGACGCTTCCGAGAGAAGTCTTCCAGACGCCTATGGCGGTCCCCGAATGGCCCAAGACGACCTCAGGGCAGCCCAAGAGATCCCCAAGATGGCACCACAGGGCTCCAAGAGGACCCTGAGGAAGACCTCAAGAGATCCAAACCATAGATTTCCTGATGTGAGCGACGCAAGAAAACGGGGTCGTCTTCGCCGACGTTGGCGCGTAAGCTGCGCGCGTGAGCGCCCTCGGCTCCAATGTAGCGTGCCGCGCTGGCGGCCCGCGTAATAAGCTGCGGCGCAAGGTCGCCGTGCCACCCCGCATCAGACCCATGTTTGATCCTCGCTCACGTGTGCCTGGCCCAAGCCTGGAGGAGCCCTGGGCCTGCCCCCACGCAGCGCGCCGCGCCTCCGATGAGGCAGGGCGGCGCGAGGCACGACGCGCAGGAGGCGCCGCGCGGGGCAGAGCCGCTGCTGGCGGCCGGCGCGGCCTCCCGGGGGGCCCTGCCGCCGGGCGGCGTGCTGGCCCCTGCTTCACCGCAGGGCCCTGCGGAGGGCTGGCCGTCGCCGCAGAGGAGGCCGTCGACTGGCCCGCTGCGGAAGGGCCAGGTCCTCGTGCCGTCGAGGACGCTCGACAACGACGCCCAGCGCGTGGCGAACAGCGGCCGGCCGATCTCTCCTGCGGGCAGCAGCCAGAGGGCCTACGCCAAGGCGGCCCAGCAGTTCGGGCTGCAGGTCGACAGCGTCGGGTTCCCGAAGCCTGCGGTGAAGGCCACGCCGTTCCCAGAGATGGGCGCTCGTCCTGGGCTTGCCTCCCGCCCCGGCACCGCGCCCGGCGTCACCGACGACCGCACGGGCGGCCCCCGATATGGCATCGGCGCGAGGCACAACTCCAAGGTCTCCCTCGTCCTGCCGCCGTCGCCGCACCGCGGGCCCGCACGGTCCAGCAGCAGCACCAGCAGCTCCCCGCAGCTGAGGCGGACCCTCAGCAGGACGGGCGGCGGCTTCCTGGACCCGAACGCCCCCGTGCACACGCCGACGGGGCCGTCCCCGCTGTGGTCCGAGCTGCACCCCGACGCCAACGCCGCCTGCCACCCCACCTCGCTCATCGACCCCGCGAAGCGCGCGCAGAGGCTGCTGGGCACCCTGTCCTCCCTGCGGCGCCAGGCCAAGATGCGGTCCTCCTCCTCCTCCTCCACGCTGCCCGGGTCCCCCCCGGCGCTGCAGGAGGCGGGGGAGGCTGGCCAGGGCGCCTCCGAGGAGGCGGAGGCGCCGCGGGCCTCGGCGGTGGCGGAGGAGACCCCCGAGGAGACGCTGATGCACTCGACCCTGCGGGACCTCTGCGACACCTGCGGCGACCTGCAGGAGCTGCTGGCCTCGCTGCAGGCGGCGCAGGACCCCGTGGAGGAGCTCGGCGCGACCAGGCACCCCACGGCGCTCATCTCTGGCCGCACCATCGCGGTGGTGAGGCGGAAGGCCGCGCTGCTGAAGGCGGCCGAAGCCCGGGCCGCCCAGGTGCAGGCCGCCCTGAGGTCGGCCGAGGCCATGCGGCAGCTGCTGCTGCGCGCCGACCAGCCGGCCGATGCGGTGCTGGCAGAGGCGCCGGAGGAGCTCCGCTGGTCTTTCGAGGCGCTGCAGAACATCAAAGGCTTCATCGCCGATCACACTCACAAGGACGGGGACCCAGCTGAGGCCAACAAGAGCCAGTTCGAAGCCTTCGCCGCGTCCTTCGGGCTCCCAGCGAAGCACGAGATCCTGCTGAGGTTGCGCTCTCTGGCCAAGGAGGCCGTCGACTGGTGGGCCCCAGCGACCCTCGAGTGCGCCATGCGAGAGGAACCCGAGGAAGACATCGACGCAATCAAACGGATGATCAAGCTGGCCGTGGGCGTCATGAACGAGAAAGGACACGACGACCTGTTCAAGGCCGAGCAGGTCATCGCCGAACGAGCCTGCAAGCGGTGCGTGGACCGGTGCCTGGAGCTGTTCGAGCAGGAGGAAGAGCGGGCAGGGAGGAGCAACGGGGTGATGCCAGAGATGGCGAAGCGGTGCGCAGAGGCCATCGAGGCGGAGATCAAGGATGCTGTCCAGACTTTCGGCGCCGACGCTACCGACCTGAACATGCAAGAGGCGAAGCGCCTGGCGCGGCTGATGCTCCAGGAGGAGCTGGAGCGCCACGCCCAGAAGGCGCTGAGGCATGCGCGGGCGTGCCGGGAGAAGGACGCCGCCGCGGCAGAGGCGGCCAGGACGGCGGAGGGGCAAGAGGCGGTGCCCGAGGTGGGGCTCGCGAGCGCGCTCGCGGACACGGTGGACGCAGAGGTGGAGCGGGCCAGGAAGCTCCGGGTTCCAGAGCACCACGCGGCCCTCATCGAGTGCGCCAGCATCGCGAAGGACCTGCGCGATCAGGACGGCAGGGGTGGACCTGGACGGTGTTTGGGCGAGCTCGCGGGCCGTTCTCGTTTCGATGTTCGCTTTGCGCGAAGGGCGGACTGGAGACAGAACGAGGGAAAGCGGACACGAAACGAAGACGAAAAACACCGCTCAGGCTCAGCCCTGCAGGACGGTATGCGCAAGCGCGCCCGGGCCAGGCTGGAGCGGCTCGCCAAGCAGGCCGCGGCCCGCGCGGCGGAGGCCTCGGCCGGCCCCGGAGGCGGGGGCTGAAGGCGGCCCGCGGGCCTCCTTCGGCAGCCGGGCCGCCGCCTTTCGGCCGCGGCGGCGGGCTGCGGGGGGAGGGAGGGTCGCGCTCTGGCCGAGGGTCGATTGATGGGCATGTTTTCCAGCACCACCACCATAAGTTGGAGGGGGAGGGGGTCCTCCTCCTCCTCCTCCTCCACCTCCTCCTCCTCCTTCCCCCCTCCAACTTATGGTGGTGGTGGTGGTGGAAAACAGGCCCACCATCGATGGGGAATCCATCCAGGCCTCCCAGATGGGGTCGCAGCAGACGGGGTCGGAGGATCTCGCCGCACCATTGCCGATGCATCGGCGCTGCGGCTCCACGTGGAGCCCGCTTTTCTCCACGCCAGCGTCGCCGATGCACCGCCGACGTCGCCGATGCATTGTCGATGCATCGGCGATGTGCGTAGCACCCCGCAGATGCGGATAAGAGTGAGGGGGCGGTGGGAACGTCGGCAGTTTGCGAGACTCTGGAGAAGCCCGCCGCAGGCGCCAAAGTTTCATAAATTATGCAACGCCCGATTTTTCCGTTAAGCCAATCTGGGTCGGTCGCGGGTGGGTCGCGGGTGTAGAGGGCAATCCACCCTATAATAGTCACCCCGACAAGCGAAGCCGTTTAGTAAACGCACACAAGGAATGCTCGCCCGTATCTGCTCGAGTGTCCAATAGCGCGTATTTCTCAAACCCTCGATGCCCGCCCTCTGCGTCTTCGATCGAACCCCCTTTGGGGGGTATTCTTTTCTTCCCTGCAGGCCGGGCCTCGGCAAGCGGCGGGGCGGCCGCGGACCGTCGGCCTGGCCAGCGGCAGCGCTGATCGGCGGGGCGGCCGCGGACCGTCGACCCGACCCCAAGAGGGACGGACAGGGGACCGACCACGACGACGTCGACGTCGACGACGACGGCGACGACGACGACGGCGACGGCGACGAGCGAAAGCGAGAGCGAGAGAGACCGACAGCAGGGCCACGAAGGATACGAAGTAGCCCACGAAGGGCGACAGCCGGGACACGAAGGGAATGCGTATGGGGCCACGAAGAGCGCGAACGAGCGGGGGCCACGAAGGGCAGATTATGCGGGGCCACAGGAGGCAACGATGGGGCCATTGAGGGTAGCAACTGGGCCACGTAGGACAGTGAGTGGGCCACAAACGGCGACAGCGGGGCCACGAAGGGCATGCACATGGGGCCACAACTGGCGCGAACGAGCGGGGGCCACGAAGGGCATACGTATATTGGACCGCGGAGGGCAAGGACGGGGCCACTGGGGCAGCAACGGGGCCACGAAGGGCAGCGAGGGGGCCGCGAAGGGCGACAGCTGGGCCACGAAGGGCATGCATATGGGGCCACCGCGGGCGCGAACGAGAGGGGGCCACGAAGGGCATACATAACTATTTGGGGCCACGAAGGGCTGCAACGGGAGCCACGAAGGACTGCAACGGGGCAGCGAAGGGCAGCGTGGGGGCCACGAAGCGTTGTAACGGGGCCCCGAAGGGCTGCCACGGGGCCATGAAGGGTAGAGAGGGGGCCACGAAGGGCTGTGACGGGGCCACGAAAGGCAGCGAGGGGGCTACGAAGGGCTGCAACGGGGCCACGAAGGGCAGCGAGGAGGCTACGAGGGGCTGCAACGGGGCCACTAAGGGCAGCGAGGGGGCCACGAAGGGCTGCAACGGGGCCACGAAGGGCAGCTAGATGACGATTCCTAGGTAATCTGTGAGGGTTTCCTATGCGTGAGCGCGACTCCTGGGTGCCTGGGTGTCGGGAGCGCGGCGCTTGAGTAAATTGTAAGAAATTCGAACGCAAGGGCGCTGTTCTTCAGTAAACTGCAAGCAGGTCTCCAGCGAAAGCGCGATTCCACATCGCCGGGAGAGCGATTCTTGAATAAATTGTCAGGAAGTCCCAAGCGAGACCGCGATTCCTGCATCAAATGCGAGGAAGTCTCGGGCGGGAACGGGGGTCCAGGCTAAATTGTGAGGAAGTATCAGGCGGGAACCGTTGTTGTTGTTGTTGTTGTTGTTGTTGTTGTTGTTGTAAACTGGGGGCCAACGGCACAGTTTGATCCTCAAGATTTTCCCTGATAAAATAATAGGGTGCGAGCCCCGGGAAGGGCACTTCAATCAAAAAACAATGTGCACCAGACGGGGGGGTCAACAACCAATATTTTTCAGAAATGAGAGTTCAACAACAACAAACAACAACAGCACCACCAACAACACCAACAACACCAACAACAACATCAACAACACCACCAACAACACCAACAACAACAACCACAACCACAACCACAACAACAGCAACAACACCACCAACAACAACCACATCAGCAACAGCAACAACAGCAACACTGACAACAACACCAACAACACCAACAATAACACCACCACCAACAACAACATCACCAACAACAACAACAGCGCAACAAGCATATTTGTTTCCTCGAATTCCTTGTTCAGCCACGCACCCAGGGACAATGAATGACCGTTCGCCCCCCTCACTCTGATCTGCGATGCGGCGTGACCCTCCGACCCCACCTACGCGGACACCAGCTGGGAGGCCTCTACGGGGGGGGGGGTGCAGGGGACGGTGGCCCCTGGAGGTGCGTCGCGGGCACCTCAAACGAGGGCCTTCGCGTGCCGCTTCCCGGCCAGGCTGGAGTCCTCAGCCCGGGGCGCCGCTGCAGAAAAAGAAGAAAGATCTCCCAGTGTGTTTGTGCGTGTGTGTGTGTGTGTGTGTGTGTGTGTGTGGACGCAGCCTGCCTTGCGGCTTCCCCCCCCCCCAAGCCGCTGCCGGCCCGCCGCCGCTGGTCCCCGCCCCCCCGGCGCCGCCCCCGCCACGCACCCGGCCCTGCCCTGAGCGTGCCTGGCTTCCTCCTCCCTCCCCGCGGCGGCCGGGCGCCTCCTCCCTCCCTGCTCCTGCATGGTGGCCTAGTTCGCGTTTCGTGCGCCTACCAGCACCCCATCGCCAGCGCAGGCGCTCTGCCCAGCCGCCAGCGGAAAAAGTGTGTGTGTGTGTGTGTGTGTGTGTGTGTGTGTGTGTGTGTGTGTGTGTGTGTGTGTGTGTGTGTGTGTGCGTGTGTGGACCTTCGTGTAGTGGCCGTCCCACGCTTCCGTCACCCGAAGACGACCCTCAAGGAGGCCCTGGATGCCTCCAAGCCTCCGAAGGCGCCAGGCGGCCCCAGAGCTCCCCGAGACGGTGGAGAGGCCTCCTCATAATTAGCCCCCGAGGGATCCCTGAAGGATCACCAGACGCCCCTCATAGGCTCCCAGGAGGCAGCACAACGCCCATGTTTTGCATCTTCCGGGCGTGCACCCTTTCAAGCGAGAGGAATCCCCTAGAGCCCCCCTCAAAGGCACACGCGTCTCCAAGATGCCCCGAGAGACATCCGTGAGAGGTCCGAGACATCCTTCCTCTTCCTCGTCTTTCCTGGTTATCTCGTTCCTCCTTTCTTCCCTCCCGCCTGAACCTCTTCAGAGGGCTCCCACGACGCTCAAGTGAGAAGGGACGCCCTGATCGATTTTGCCTAAAGGTGTCCCTCTCTCTTCGCCCTGCTGCTCTTCCCTTTCTCCCTGTCTTCTCCATGCCGCCTTGTCATCTTCAGGAAACTCCGTCATAGAACTCCATGCTTCCAGCTCTGTCCTCACCATTTATTGCATCGCGAGTCGTGCGCACCGCACGGGGATCCTGAGAGGACCCATCGGACTCTCGAGCACCTCCTCCGACCCATCCCAGCTGTTCCAAGCAGCGTCGCTTCCTCAGTTCCCCGTTCACGTTAGGGATGCGTCTCTGGAAGACACCCCCGCGAATGGCCGAAGAGCCCCCAGCATGTCCTCGACGAGTTTCCAGAACCTTCCAAACGCGCCATCGAGAGTCTCCCAGGGAGTTCCCAAGACGCCCAACATAGACTTCCAAGAGGTCCTCCAGGGCTCCAGGACGCCTCCCTCGCTGAGTGGAAGCACACCGCGGGAGCCACTGTGACTCTTCTCTCCCCTCGCCTCCTGTGCTCGTCCCTCCCCTTCCCTGTGGCTGCCTCGCTCTCCCTGCCCTGCACGCCTCCTTCCCTCCCCTCCTCCGTCTCGTGCAATGCCCGCACGTGCTCGAAGGATTGCAAAAAAACCCTGGAACGAAGGATTGCAAAAAACCTGTTTTTTTGCAATCCTTTTTTTTTTTGTTGCAATCTTGGTTTTTTTTTTTGCAATCCTTCGAAGGTCGGGGTCCGCGGCTCCAGCGCGCTTCCGAGGCGTTGGACGTCCTCGTGGGCCCGGGGTGCCCACCTCGCCCCCCCCCCCCGACCCGTTCGGGCAGGCGCGCGTCCCGGCCAGCGTTCTGAAGGAGTCCCCTCCTTGTCCTTCTCCTCCTCCTCCTCTTCCTCCTCCTCTTCCTCCTCCTCCTCCTCCTCTTCCTCCTCCTCCTCCTCCTCCTCTTCCTCCTCCTCCTCCTCCTCCTCCTCCTCTTCCTCCTCCTCCTCCTCCTCCTCCTCCTCCTCCTAGGCCCTCCGGCCGCGGTCGCCGGGGCGGTGGGGGAGGCCTCCCGACAGAGCGACGCCAACAGGTTTCACCCTCGACCTGGAACATTTCAGGGGCACCGAGAGGGTGGACGGGCCAGGGGGAGCATCGACTCCGGCTCGCCCGTGCATCGCCGATCGATTCCTGCCAGCCCCACCCCATCCAGGAGCGTTGGGTCTCGCTATCCAGGACCCATCGATGCACCACCGACTCCACGTCAATGTCCCCTCCCCGAGTCGGTCCCCCCTCTCGTTTCCCCTCACTGGTCCCCTTGCCCGCCCCGCTTTGATCTTTGACCCTTGCTCTTCTTACCTTGCGCAGGCCGCTGGGCGGACTCGGCACCCGTGGCGTCGGGATCTGCTGACGCACGGCGCCGACCGAGCACGGAGCGGGCACCCGGCGAGGCAGTGCAGAGCTCGCAGCGCTCACCCAGGCTCGGCCCCTGTGGCGGGGACGACGCGGCGGGCCAGCCGCCACGCCTGCTCGAGCATCTGCTTCTCCTTCTCCTCCTCCTCCTCCTCCTCCTCCTCCTCCTCCTCCTCCTTTCCCTCCTCCTTCCCCTCCTCTTCCTCTCGGAGGGGCGCCAACTATACACCACCACCAGCCCTGGCCAGGCACTTCCTGGACCCTGGATCGGTGTACAGACCTCCTGGCCTAGGCCAGGAAGGCCTGCACATCAACCCAGGGCCCACGATAGGCCTGGCCAGGGCTGGTGGCGGTGTATTCTTTGGAGCTCTCCTATCCTCCTCCTCCTCCTCCTCCTCCTCCTCCTCCTCCTCCTCCTCCTTCTCCTCTTCCTTTTCCTCCTGCTGCTCCTCCTCCTCCTCCTCCTCCTCCTCCTCCTCCTCTTCCTCCCCCGCCCCAGCCCCCAAGAGGTCGCAGGGCCGCTCACCTACCGCTTCGCCGCCTCGACGCGCGGGCTGGCCGCGGGACAGGGCGCGGAGCGGGCCCTGACGTACGAGTTGGCCGCCGCCTCGAAGGGCATCCCGCGCGCGAGGGCGACGACGCCGACGACGCCGACGACGCCGAAAGCCGACGACGTCGACGGCGACGTCGCCACCGTCGGCAACGCCGCCGTCAGCTTTCGCCTCGTTGCGGTCGTCGTCGCTGCCGTCGTCGTGGCCGTCGGCGTCGGCGTCGTCGTCGGCGTCGTCGCCGTCGGCGTCGTCGTCGGCGTCGTTGCCGTTGGCGTCGTCGTCCTTGTCGTCCGCGTCGTCATAGCTTGCGCTACATCTTACAGCCTGCCTCTCTCTACAATCTCATTGCGCTAACTAGTTTTTTATACGCCGAGTTGTGTGCCCAAACCTCACTTTAGTGGCCTTCGGCCCATCCCGCCACCGTACCTGGGTTGGGTCAGGCTCCTCACGCATGCCGTCTGGGGCCTCTTGGGATGCCTCCTTGGGGCCTCCTGGGGGCCTCCTGGGGGCCTCTTGGGGGCCTCTTGGGGGCTTCTTGGAGCCCTCTTGGACGCCTCGGGGGTTCTCTTGGGGGTACCTTGCACAGCGGTTTTGGGAGCCTCGGCACAAGAGGGCTCGTGGGGCCTGTTCGGGTTCCCCGCTCCAGGGCCCAAAGCACTGAGGGACCATTTCTCTGCAGTGCTTCTCTTGGTTTCTGGACATGTCATGCGGGGCGCCCACAGGAGCGCGCCGAGGCGCCCAAGAGCGACCAAGAGTACTTGTGAATCCGGGGCCTGGGCCTCTCGAAGAGCGAAGGGACCTGGGGACATCCCGCTCAGTACCCACGGCACGGTAGCGTATTCTTAACTGGCATCTGCTGTGGTTGCCCCGCCGTTCATTGCGTGAAGGGCGGAGCGACCAAACGGGACCTGGTGGGTGAAGAGACGACGCGCACAATCAAGCTGCGCCGTGCTTGGAGCAGTCTTCCTAGGAGGATGACCTTTATACCATTTTTTCCCCCGCAGCCAGGCGACTCCTGGAGCGAATGCTCCAGGAGTCGCCTGGCTCGTTGGCTGGATCCACACCCCAGGGCCGACCGGCCCTGGGGGGGGGGAGGGCAGCTTCCGACGGCTGCCATCAGCACAGCCGGCCCCGACTCGCAGGCCGGCCCTGCCAAGTCGAGGGTGCCCTGGCGTTCTGTGCCTTGCAGCCCGTGCCTCCTGCACTCCCAAGGCGATGTGGCCCCTCGGAAGGGCCTCATGTCCTCTCGCGCGTCCTGTCAGATCAAGGCCGACTGTACGTCGCGGTCGTGTTCCGCTACGGTCGGTCCGAGGTATACGACCCTGGTCGGTTCGTGGAGGGCACCCCACTGTTCGTCGTGCTCGTTGGATGCTCTGGTGCATCCTGGGGAAGCCACTCTGGATGCTCTGTGTGCCTTGGCCGGTGGAGGGTCTCATGCTCTTGAAGGAGGTTCTTCTGTCCCTGGCCCGGCTGTACGTCGCGGTCGCCTGCGTCCGGCCGCTCTGGTCCGGCTGGGCGACTGCCCCGTGGCTGCGCCGCCGCGCCCCTGCCGGGCTGTCTCTTGCGCCGACGGCGCCGGGCACTGGCGCGAGGACGGGGCCGAGGCTGTCCGTGGTTCGGTCGGCTCGGCTGCGTCGCCGTCGGCTGCGTTCGGCCACTTTGGTCTGGCTGGATTCAGGAGGGAAAAAAACACACAGAGATAATGAACCGTCGATCCCCGGGAGATGGGAAAATGTGGGAAGTGGGGGGAAGACAGAACCCAGAAAACATGGGAAAATGTTGGGAATCCTGTGATTTGTGTGTATCCAACTGTGTGTCCCCGGGCCCCTTCACACTTTGGTCTGGCCGGATTGCTGCGCCGCGGTGGCTGCGCCGCGGCTGCGCCGCGGCTGCCCCGCGGCTGCGCCGTCGCGCCTTCGCCACCGGCTGCCCTGTGCGGCCTGTCCTGGTCGGCCTCCGCGGGCCTCGCGCGAGGCTTTGTTGTCGGCCGGGCGCGCCCTCCAGACGAGGGGGCCTCGCCGGCGGTCTGTCCGCGCACTCCCCTCGCCCTGGGCAGAATCAAGGAGCCCAAGGAGGCGCAAATGAATACACACACAAATGACAGGTCCCCCCATATTTTCTCCCGTATTTTCTGGGTTTTGTCTTCCCCCCTCATTTTCCATATTTTCCTATATTTGTTCGGGGAATCGACGATGAATTGTGTCTGTGTGTTTCTGTTCCTCCTGACAGAAGCCGGCGCAGGGCCGGCAGTAGCAGATCAGGAGGAAGAAAAACATAGACACAAATGACCGTCGGGTCTCCGGAAAGTTTGGGAACAGATGGGAAGCGGGGGGGGGGGGAACACGAGTCTCCGGAAGATGTGGAAACATATGGGTAATCTTGGGATTTGGAGGAGGAGGAGGAGGAGGAGAAACGCTTGTCTTTCGCACCCCTGGCATCGCGAACCTCGTGTTTGTTCTCACAGGGGCTTTGTTGGATGCCCAGGAGAGAGAGAGAGAGAGAGAGAGAGAGAGAGAGGAAGAGAGAGAGAGAGAGAGGGAGAGAGAGAGGGAGAGAGGGAGAGAGAGAGGGAGAGAGGGAGGGAGAGAGGGAGAGTCGCTTTCTGCGAACTCCAATGTGCGTGCGCACGCCAGCACGGGCGTCCCCCTCGGGGGACGGGAGTCCGGCACAGGGCTGCGAGCACTCCGTGGGCCCTGCGCCTCCCCGAGTGGTCTCGAACAGAAGCGGCGGAGCGAGAGACGCAGGGAGAGGCAGTGGCACAAGATGGGGAGGAGCAGGACGACGAGGGATAATGGGTGTACTCTCAAGGGTGGGTCGGAAGAGAGAGGGAGAGGAAGAGAGAGAGAGAGAGAGAGACATAGAGACAGAGACAGAGACAAAGACAGAGAGATAGAGAGAGAAATATATAGAGAGAGGAGATATAGAGAGAGGGGGAAAGAGAGAGAGAGAGAGAGAAGGAGAGAGAGAGAGAGAGAGAGAACGAGAGGCGATAGGTGTATATATACAGATAATGAAATATACAGCGAGAGAGAGAAGAGAGAGAGAGAGAGAGAGAGAGAACAATGAAAGAGAGAGAGAGAGAGTGAGCCGAGGAAAAGAAGAACACCACCGTCGTGAATGAATGCTGTTAAGAATGAGTGCTGGGGGGTGTATACATGTATATATATATATATATATATATATATATATATGTCTATGTGTATCTGTATGTCTCAACACACGGGTGCTGGAGTGTGGCAGGCGCCGAGGCGTGAGCGCCCCATCGGGCCAGCCGAAGACGTTCCGATTGGACAGGCGCACGGGAAGGATCCGGCCGAAGACGATCCGAGCTGAGACGGCACAGGCGAGAACCACACTTCTCCCGAGCAGCGTTGCGCTGGAGGGCTCTCGCAGCGGCAAAAAAGGAGAGCTACAGGGAGCCAGTGCCCGCCTGCCTGGATCGCCTGATCTGGCAGCTGCTTCGCTCGAGACACCATTCACATGTCATTCAGGAATCGTGCTCTAGCCTCCATTCGGCGGCGAGCGAGGGGGCAGAGTGAGAAGGAGAAGGCCCTCTCAGAAGGCGGCAGGACTTCTCAGATACCTTCGCGCCTTCCGAGAAGTTCTCTGCGTCTTCGGGGAAGGCTGAGGAGACTTCTCAGAAGGCCGGGGGACTTCCGAGCTTGCTGAGGAGGCCCTTCCCTTCTCACCTCCCCCCTAGGCTCGCCGCCGAATCGTGCTCTCGCCTCAATGCTGGCCACATTTTTGGTCTGGACGGCCACGGTCCCTGGTAACAGACAGGCGGCGGTGGACACAGCCCTGCTCTCACCCTTGTCCCCAGCCGTCGAGGTCCTGGAATCCCCAGGGATCCTTAACTCACCAGCCGACCTCCTACTCCACAGCCCGCCTCTTCACTTTTGCTGCTATCAGGGTGCTTTGCTGGCATAATTTTGATGAAGTCCTGCGCGTGGAAAGAGCATTGTGCGGGAAAGGCGACGGCACCAGTGGACAGCATCATGGGAGAGAGGAGAGCGGTGCTGCTGTTGGAAAGAGCGTGTTCTACCGCTGCTGGCGGAAAGCCGGGGGGGGGTCACTGGGGGTTCCTAACCCGTCCCCCCCCCCGTTCGAAAGCTGGGGGGTTGGTCACTACCGGTTCGAACCTCCCCCTCCGCCCCCCCCCCGTCCATCATGGAAAGGGGGGGTCACTACCGGTTCGAACCCCCCCCTCGCCGCCGGCAAACGATTCCCGCTCCTCGGGACAGTGGGACAGTGGTGGGGACACTGGGACAGTGGTGAGGACTGCGATGGTGAGGACAGTGGTGTGGGGACAGTGGGACAGTGGTGGGGACGGTGATGGTGGGGACAGTGGTGAGGGGAACGCGGGACAATGTTGGGAACAGTGGCGACGGTGGGACAGTGGTGGGGACGGTAGTGGTGGCGCAGTGGTGAAGGCGGTGGTGAGGATGATGGTGGGACAGTGGTACAGTTGGGAGACTGGTGGGGGCAGTGGGGACAGTGGGGACAGTGGGACATTGGTGGGGACAGTGGGGGCAGCGGGACAGCGGTGGGGACAGTGGGGACAGTGGGACAGTGGTGGGAACATTGGGACATTGGGACAGTGGTGGGGACAGTGGGGACAACGGGGAGAGTGGGACCGTGGTGGGATAATGGTGGGGACAGTGGGGACAGTGAGACACTGGTGGGGGCACTGGTGGGGGCAGTTGGGACAGTGGTGGGAGCAGTGGGACAGCTCAGTGGGACAGCAGCGGGGACAGTGGGACGTAGGACAGTGGGGACAGTGGGGACAGTGGGACAGTGGTGGGGACCGTGGGGAAAGTGGCGACGGTCGGACAGTGGTGGGAACAGTGGTGGGGACAGTGGGGACAGTGCGACAGTGTTGGGGGCACTGGTGGGGACAGTGGGGACGGTGGTGGGAAAGTGGGGACAGTGGTGGTGGGGACGGTGGTGCTGAGGACAGCGGTGGGGGATGTGGTGCGGACGGGTGTGGGGACCGGGGAGTCGTTTGCCGGCGGTGAGGGGTGGGGTGGGGTTCGGGAGGGGGTGTTTTGCCTGGGGAAGGGGGGGGAGAGGGGGGGGGTCCAGGGGGGGGTCCAGCAGGGGGGTGGGGATTTTCGAAGGGGGGGGGACCCCCGGGTTCCAGAGGAAGAGGGGGGAATTTTCCACAGTACAGCGGCAATCGGCGGTGGATCACGCTCACTCTGATGTTGAGTCATGGTGCAGAGGGAGGGGTGGAGGAGGTAGAGAAGCAAATGAAGGGAGGGGAACACCCTCGGAGATTCTCTGCGCCCGCAAGCCTGCTTGGGAGACAGCCGAGGCAGCCAAAAAGGTCAGGGGGTACTGGAGGGCTTCCTGACGCCGCACTCTCCCCTCGTCGCAAGCTGCAGACGCCGCAGCAGGCCGCCGACTTTGGAACGGACCTCGATAGACTAGGGAATGGAGGGAATACTCAAGCAGTAGCAAAGCGTCCTGGTCTGCCTAGGGGCCCACCCAAGAACATTCTAATGACCTTTGTGGTTTTCACGAATTGTTCTTGGGACAATTCTGGCTGAGACGTTCTTGTTATAATGTATCTGCTTTACGTTCTAAGAACATTGCTGATTATGTTGATGTTGATGTTGATGTTATTGTTGTTATTGCTGCTGCTGCTGCTGCTTATGTTGTTGTTGTTGTTGTTGTTGTTGTTGTTGTTGTTGTTGTTGTTGTTGTTGTTGTTGTTGTTATTGAACATTATTACTTCTAAAGAATAATTATTGTTGGGACCCCTGGTGCACGGCCCCCTCGCCGCGCCTAGGCCGCAGCCACATTTTCATCATTTTCGTGAGGAAGTCTCAGGCAAAACGATGTGATCCAGATCCGGTTGTTTTGTTACGGCCCGCTTTCCCTTGCAAAAAATAAGCTAAAGTGGACATTTCTTGTTCTAACATAACCAAACTTCAAGAATCCCTTGCAAAAATTAAGGTAAAGTGGACATTCGCGCGCGCAAGACGAAATCCTTCCAAAACCTTAGTGTTCGTAACGATTTTAACATCAAAACATCAAAAAGCCATTGTTTTTTTTTTTTTTTTTTTTTTAAAAAAAAAAGAAGCAAAGGTCAACATCCATCCGCGCGCTCTTGGGATTTCGTTAGAAACCCAACCTTTTTAAACATTTCGTCAAACGGGCTTTAGCGAGCAACTTTTCGAACTTCTGCAACAAAGGTTGCGCGCCTGCCAGGGCCATCATCCCTGTCAAATAATACCATATGGGACACATTCGTTTTTTATTCGCGCGCGCACGCCGTCGTCGTCGGGGCCGCGGGGCCCTGAATAGTAGCCAACGTCCGTCCGCATTGGCCACGAAGTGAAGTAGCCGAACGTAATAGGGCGGGAAATGGGTCGTGGGGTGGTGGCGAAGAGTCGTTGGAAAATTTGGTAGAGGCTTGAACTGAGCCCCCCCACAAAGTGGGGGTATGTGCCGCCTTCCCTATATGAAAACCTGGCCTGGGAGAACGGAGCGTCCCACGTGCTAGTAAATTGTTGTTGTTTAAATTGTTGTGTTGTTGTGTTGTGTTGTTGTTGTTGAACAAGGCGGTCATGAAGGTCGCCTTCGCGCCCCCCCCCCCCCCAGCAAACCAGCAACCCAGCAGCGGATCTGTGCGACCGTGGGGCCGAGCTCCACCGAAACTTCATTTCGGCACACCCCTCTCGAGGATCGTGGCCCTGGCCCCACAGGGAGCTCCACCGAAGCTTCATTTCGGCACACCCCTCTCCAGGATCTTGGCCCTGGCCCCACTGGGAGCTCCACCGAAGCTTCATTTCGGCACACCCCTCTCGAAGATCGTGGCCCTCGCCCCACAGGGAGCTCCACCGAAGCTTCATTTCAGCACACCCCTGTCGAGGATCGTGGCCCTGGCCCCACAGGGAGCTCCACCGAAGTGTTATTTCTGCACACCCCTCTCGAGGATCGTGGCCCTGGCCCCACAGGGAGCTCCACCGAAGCTTCATTTCGGCACACCCCTCTCGAGGATCGTGGCCCTGGCCCCACAGGGAGCTCCACCGAAGTGTCATTTCGGCACACCCCTCTCGAGGATCGTGGCCCTGGCCCCACAGGGAGCTCCACCGAAGCTTTAGAACACCTATAGAACATATATAAGAAACGTTAGGAAACTTATAGAAAAACAAACAGGAATCATATAGGAAACCTATAGAAAACATATCGGGCACATATAGAACACTTATAGGACATATATAAGAAACGTGGGAAAACTTATAGAAAACAGATAGGAATCATATAGGAAACCTATAGAATACATATAGAGAACATATAGAACACCGATAGAAAACATACAGGAAACATATATGACACGTATAGAGAACGTATAGGGATCCTATAGGATCCTGTAGGGATCCTATAGTATCTTATAGGATCCTATAGGATCCTGTAGGGATCCTATAGGGATCCTATACTATCCTATAGGATCCTATAGGATCCCATAGGATCCTATAGGGATCCTAAAGGGATCCTACGGGGATCCTATAGGGATCCTATAGCATCCTACAGGATCCTATAGGGATCCTATAGGGATCCTATGGGGATCCTACAGGGATCCTGTAGGATCCTATAGGGATCCTATAGGGATCCTATAGGGACTCTATAGGGACTCTATAGGGATCCTATAGGGATCCCTATAGTATCCTATAGGGATCCTATAGGGATCCTACAGGATCCTATAGGGATCCTATAGGGATCCTATAGTATCCTATCAGGATCGTATAGGGATCCTATAGTATCCTATAGGATCCTATAGGGATCCTATAGAATCCTATAGTATCCTATAGGATGTTATGGGGACCCTATAGGATCCTATAGGGGTCCTATAGTACCCTATAGTATCCTGTAGGGATCCCTATAGTATCCTATTGGGGTCCTATAGGTATCCTATCCTATAGGATCCCTATAGTATCCTATAGGGATCCTATAGGGATCCAATTGTATCGTATAGGGATCCTATAGGGATCCTATAGGGATCCTATTGTATCCTATAGGGATCCTATAGGGATCCTATAGAATCCTATAGGATCCTATAGGATCATATAAGATCCTATAGGTGTCCCTATAGGATCGTATAGGGATCCTATAGGGACCCTATAGGGATCCTATAGGGTTCCTATAGGGACTCTATAGGGATCCTATAGGGATCCCTATAGTATCCTATGGGGATCCTATAGGGATCCTACAGGGATCCTATAGGGATCCTATAGGGATCCTATAGGGATCCTATAGGATCCTATAGGGATCCTATAGGATCCCATAGGGATCCTATAGGGATCCTATAGGGATCCGATAGGGGTCCTATAGGGACCCTATAGGGACCCTATAGGGATTCTATAGGGATCCTATAGGATCCTATAGGGATCCTAAAGGGATCCTACGGGGATCCTATAGGAATCCTATAGGATCCTATGAGATCCAATAGGAATCCTATAGGATCTTATAGTATCCTGTAGGGCCTCCGTTCCGGAGCCTCGCCGGAGCAAACGTCGGAACCTGTTTGGGGTTTCGTTGGGCGGACATAAGGAAGGTTTTTTTTTTGTCGGGTTGCTGGGTTGCTGGGTTGCTGGGTTGCTGGGTTGCTGGGGGGGGGGCTAGCAACGGCGACCTTGTCGTCCGCCTTGAGTACTAGTGGTCGAGGCGGTCAGAGCGAGCGCGTCGGGACGCGTCTCTCATGACGGCCTTGACCTTGTTGGTGTTGGTGTTGTTGTTGTTGTTGTTGTTGTTGTTGTTGTTGTTGTTGTTGTTGTTGTTGTTGTTGTTGTTGTTGTTGTTGTTGTTTGTTGCTGCTGCTGCTGCTGTTGCTGCTCTTGGATATTCATTTCAAAAACGTATTTGTTGTTGATCTCCAGAAGCGGTTCCGCGTGCGCTCGCCTCGACGCCGGCTAAATTTTCTCTGAAACCGAGGCTCCCGCTCGAGCGTTGGCTTGAGGCTAAATGTGTGCCCTTGGTGGTCCAGCTATGACAACAACGGCTCCCGCTCGATACTTCCTCATAGTTTACCCCGAGACACCCTACCCTGGCCAGAGAGGCCCCCGAACTCAGGAACGGCGCTCTCGCTCGAGACTTCTCGCAATTCAACTAAGTTGGCGGAGGCCCAGCCACGACGACAGGGGCTCCTGCTGGATACTTCCTAACGAGTTTACTCTGAGAGCCCTGGCCAAGAAGGCCCCCGAACTCAGGAACGGCGTTTTTGCTCGAGACTTTTCTGTAATTCAGGCAAGTTGGTGGAGGCCCAGACACGGCGACAAAGGCTCCCGTTCGATATTTCTCCATAGGTATTCCGAGAGCCTTTGGCCAGACAGGCCCCCGAACTCAGGAACGGCGCTCTCGCTCGAGACTTCTTCGCACTTCAGTCAGTGGCCGACAAGGAAGCGATTTCCCCCGAAAGGGGGTGCAATCGAAGACGAAGTGGGCGGGTATCGAGGGTTGGGGTATACGGAATGCAAGACACGCGTGACAGTAAGAGCGACAAGTCTTAAGATGTTTTTTTTTCCTTCTTCTTCTTCTTCTTCTTAGAACACTCGTCTGTTCTAAGAGCATGTCCCGGTAGGCCCATAGGAGTGCCTGGACGGTCGGCCCCTGCTCAAGAGAACGAGGAGGAGTCGGAGGACGAGCAAGAGGATGGCTTCACTGCCCCCACTGGCCGAGCGGAGCCTCGGCACGCCGTGCCGCCTCATTGGCCAGCCCCCGCCGCCGCGGGTGCCCTTCGCCCCCTGGACCGACGACGGAGACGGCGCTGGTAACGTCGACGGCGAGGACGCCGCCGCCGACGACCACCACCACCACCACCACCACCACCACCACCACCACCACCACCACCACCACCACCACCACCACCACCACCACGGCCTGATCACGACCGCGACCGCGGCCAGAACGACAGCCCTGGCGGCGGCGGCGGCAGCGACGAAGGCGGCTGCGACTGCGGCCGGCCCCGCCCGCCGCCCGCCGACCTCTGCCGAGGTCGCGGTCCGCCAGGACGACGGCAGCCTGCGGCCGAACTCCACCTGCGGTCCGGCCGCCCCTCCGCGCGCGCGCACCCCCGCGGGGGCTCTCCCTCGGCCGGGCCCTCTGGCGGCAGGCCCCTCCGCGGGCCCCTCCGCGGGGCCTCTCGGCTTTAGGACGATCAGGAGGGGGAGAAACGCACCGACACAAGTAGTCGTCGACTCCCAGGAGAACATGGAAAACATGGGAGGGTGGGGGGAGGACGAACACCCAGAGCATGTATGATCATATGATGTCATCTATCTGTGTGTCCCTGGGCCCCTCAGAGCAGCGTTGGGAGGGGGGAGTGTCTCAGGGGAGGAATGTGCCGACCCCCAATCGCCCAGTCGTCGCCGAAGAGGAGCCAGATGGCCCACGCTGCCCAGCAAGGACCGTGCGGATGCGCTATCGGGGGCCTATCGCCTATCGCCAGTCGCGGCGATATGTCTCGCAGACTCCGGGTCAATGTTTCTCCCCCCATGAGCTGGTCCTCCCCGAACCCAGACCCCTGACGTCATGCTGTTTCCATAACGTCGACAGCAGGAGACATCCACACCCGGGATGTTTGTTTCATTCTGAGTCGTGTTTTGACGGTCCCGGGGCATGGTAAGGGTTCCCAGGGGCCGAAGATTGAGACAAATCTTCCGTCGTGAATTCTCTATGACTCGAAGGGGTCCGGGAGCGTTGCCTCACCGCCGGCCCCTCACGGCGACTTCCTCGGCTGCCCCTCAGCGGCGCCTCGGCGCTGCGGCGGCCACAGTGGACCGCGGAGAGTCCCCGCGCGGCGCGCTGGGCCCTTCCGGCAGACCCCTCGGCAGGCGTTCGGCGGGCCTCCTGGGTCTGTTCAGGGACGTCACCGAGGGAATCTTTGTGAAGAGGACAAGGCGGCATGACATCACAGCTTCCGGAGCTCCTCGCGGATATTTCTTGGATCCGCGCTGGACCCCTCTGGCGGCGCCTCTGGTGCCGCCCCGGACGCGCCAGCGCAGATCCAGGACATCAGCGCGGACCTCCAACAGTTTGGAGGAGGAAGAGGAGGAGGAGGAGGAGGAGGAGGAGGAGGAGGGGGAGGAGGGGGAGGGGTGAGGAGGGGGAGGGGTGAGGAGGGGAGGGGTGAGGAGGAGGAGAAGGAGGAGGAGGGGGAGGAGGAGGAGGAGGAGGAGGAGGTTTCTCTCGATTTGAGGCTCGAGATTTCCGGGCGTGTCCGTCGGCTCCCGGAGGTCTGCCGGCCTCGGGATGCCTTTTCGGCGGCGCCCCGCTCTGAGGGCGTCCCGGGCCTGCCCGGATCGCTCCGCAGGGCCGCCCGGCCCGGGGCCGCGCTGCGGCCCGAGGGCCGGCCCATGGGGCGTTACCACCGGGAGGGTATTTTGGCGGCGCCCTCCGCGCGGACGCGGCGCGCTCGCTCCAGACGGGGCCTCTCGCCCGCGAGGGCCGCGGGCGTTGGCATCTCTGCTCTTCCTCGGCGGGAGGCAGGCGGAATGGCGGCAGGAGAGCCGGCGGATGCAAGCTTAATTTTCTGTCCCCGAAGAGAGATGTTTTTGCTGGGCTCAGGGGCCGCGGGAGTTATCTTCCCTTCCTCGGCGGAAGGAGGGCGGAAGGGCGGCAGGAGCCGGCGGAGACGAGCTTTTCTGTCCCCAAAGAGAGATGTTTCTGCTGGGCTCAGGGTTGCTGGCGCCCGCCGAGTGTTCTGTTGACTATTTGTGTCTGTAGGTTTTTGTCGCACCGATTGTGTTTTTCGTTGGTTGTCGTGGTCTTCCATTGTTCAGGGCAGTCTCCTGAGACCGCTGGAGATGGAGGGGGGAGGACGCACGCTGCGGAGGAGAGGAGGAAGGAGAAGGGAGGAGGGCGGGAGCGAGGTTGGCACTCGGCAGTCTCGTCGACGCGAGTCGGGAGGCGCCGACGTTCGTGTCTCGGGGGTCCCTGGAAGGCGAGCTCCTAGCTGGGGCGGTTGGGTTGTTTGTGGGGGCCGTCTGGAGCCACATCTGGGGGTGACCCTCGGGCGGTGCGTCCTGGGGGGGCGATTAATGGGGGGTGCGGACATTTGCACTCTTCTGTGCCATCGCTCCTCGAGGGCGAACACCCTTGCCTTGATAAGCAGATGAGCGATCGCCGCAACCTGTGGACGGAGTCGTGTGGATCGTGGTGTTCGCGCCCCCTTCAGAGGGATGGGACACGAGGACCCGCAGGCTATGACTCGCTCCGACTGGACACCATGATGCGAGGAGAGCAGCAAGCTTGCGGCATGCCGCTCGTCATTCCTGGGGAAGCTCAAGGAAGTGGTGCGGAGGGTGCGTTCCTACACTCGTGCCTCTGGCAGGACAGGATCGACTCAGAGGGAAGACGTGCTCAGTTGGTACCCAGAACTGTGCACGTTGACTAATCTTCAGTCGGGCCTATCCCTCTACAGGGGGAATATTCAAAAATAGTTTAAAAATGTCTGGGGACGTTTTTTTGTGACTATTTCTGAATATGGTGGGGGTACTGTTTGAGTATCTTTAATTTTTGGCCCAAAATCCCCCTGTAGGGGGACGCGCCCGACTTATGGCTAATCCTGATCTGAATGATCCGCGCTTCCATCCTTTGCTTTCCATCAGAGATGATTGACCTTGGAGAACACTGGGCCGAATGGGCCGAAACCCCAGATGTCGGACCCAGCTACGAAGCAATCGTAAGAATGGCACGGCAATGCCAGGTCCCCTCCTAGCAGAACATCGAAAGGGGCAGAGAAGCTGCCATCAAGTTCGGGAATCTGCGTGATACGAAGGGGCTTGATGAGGTAGCTCTTTGAGTAAGTCAACAAGGGTCAGCAGCAGACCGTGTCTGGAAGACGACGGAAATAATTCGTTCGCTCCCGAGTACTGGTGGCTGTTCCGGGACCGTCTCTCCATGGAGGGGGTCGTAAAGCTGTTCATATTGAATCTCTGTCTGATGCGCAGGTGCAAGCTGAGACACTCGGGATTGAATAGCCCCTATACCCCTGATGATAAAATCCTGGGGATAGTAAAGTTCGGGGTCTTGGGGGGAGAATAAACGTTTTTCCCGGCGGAGGATGATGGTGATGAAGATGGTGGTGATGGTGATGATGATGATGATGATGATGATGATGATGATGATGATGAGGATGAGGATGCTGCTGCTGCTGCTGCTGATGATGATGATGATGATGATCCGGATGATTCGGATGATTCGGATGATGATGATGATGATGATGATGATGATGATGATGATGATGATGATGTTGATGATGATAACGATGATAACGATGATGCTGATGATGATGCTTCTGATGATGCTGATTCATGATGATGATGATGATGATGATGATGATGATGATGATGATGATGATGATGATGATGATGATGATGCTGATGATAGTGATGCTGCTGCTGATGATGATGGTGATGGTGAGGATGTGCTAAAAAAGTACTACACAAAGAACGCATGTTCACTTCAAAATCCAATCGGTCCCCACGGCCCTGCCACGCGGTCCTGACTCGGGAAAGGCTGAGAAAGTGAGAATCCCATGGCCCTGCCGCACGTTCGTGGCTTGAGAAAGCTGAAATGGTGAGAATCCCACAGCCCTGCCACACACTCGTGACTTGCGAGAGCTGAAATGGTGAGACCTCCATTGCCATGCTCAGCGTTTTTTTTTATGTTGCTACTCAACATAAGACGATTGCAATTTCGATTCGCAACTTCCCCCTGCGATAATCAAGTTCGGCCTCGCCGCCCCTCTCCACAATCAAACATGTCTGACCCGGGGGTTATAACCAGTCAGGGGTTAAGGGGGGAGTTATTATTTATTATCTGGGGAACGGGGTTATAGCGTGAGAAAATGCCTGGCGACAGCTGTTGTCCATGTGTATTTCTCCGAGGCAACTTCGGGATTTATATCGCGGATGGTCCTGGAGCAGTGGAGTGATTTTTGCTACGAGGCGCAGCGCATTCCGTGGCACCTGGGTGGCAAGGGCTGGCTTGCTCGCAATGCAATGTGTGTCATCGTCCTGTCTTCAAAGAAGTTGTGCACCCCTGACAGGACATTCGTTGGAGTAAGACCCAGGAACCGTTCCGCTAATTTGTGGTCTCCCAGCTGCAGGATATCTGTGCTGAGATGTCGAGAGGTAGGTGCGCCCTTGAGGCGACGTACTTCCTGGACCCAAGCGGCGCTGAGTTTGTCAATAATGAAATAGACGCACATGATACATGTAAGGCCATTGAAGGTGTCCTTGACACCCTTGGCAGAGGTTGGGGGCTCAGCGACGATGAGAAGTCGCGAGGCGCTCGTGCGAAGATGGAACGCGCCATCGGAGTGAGCCGAATAAGGCTCCCTACGGTAGCGATCCTGATGATGCAGGATCACGTCGGGGCAGAATCTCCGAGATCTGTAGGTGGCGGGAAACAGGTTCTCTCAGGAACTGATGCCGACAAGAAACAAGTGACAGATGATAATGACGAGCCTGTGGTGTCCCTGCCCGAACTGCCGCTGGCGTCAGGGGCAACCCCTGGAACAGGATCGAGTTTGGCTGGCTATCGGCGAGGGAGGCGGCGGGTGCAAGGGATCGCGGCGTTGCCGCGACAGCCGACCCGATCGTCCGTCACGTATATCCTGACCGCGGGTGAGATGCGTCGCGTGGGCGTTTTGGTCACCGTGGCAGGGCCGCAGCTGACGAACACGACCATGGTCACGGAGCAGACTCGGCGAAATGAACCCAGAGAGGGCGCACGCATCCTTTGGACGATGCCCCTGCTGGCAAATAGCAGTCCTCTGGCAGCGGGACAGCCAGGGGCAGGCCAATGAAGGAGGCCGTGGTAGCAGAGACGTGTGGGACGACACGAGCGGATGGTGGACCGACAATCGAACCGAGAATCGGACCGAACCTCGGTGGCAGAAGAGTTCGGGTCGTGACGATGGATCGTGAACTTCAGGAAGTGACCGGTGGGACGACAGCTCATGGCATGCGGTTTCGAGTCGAGGTTGGGATGGCAGCTCACGGTGGACGAGGTCGAAGCTTAGCCCTCGGGGGCCAGTGGTG